GTGTGTGTGTGTGTGTGTGTGTGTGTGTGTGTGTGTGGTCTCAGAGGGAACATTGCTTCTCGTCCTCCATGCTTCACTGCTCACCTCTGCTATAAATAGACTTAGAGCCGAGGCCCCGGAGTCATTACCAGCCGCTCACCTGATCACCTGACTGATTTATTATCAGGTACAGAAAGAAATACCTCTGCTGGATAATGAAGACTGTCAGATTCATGGTAAAATTGTTCAAATAACTCTTTTTTTTTAAGTCAGAGCCATTTTCTGACCTCCTGACTCCTTTAGATTCCTCTGAGCTGAGCAGCTAACAGACCGGTGGTCGATGGGCAAACAGCACTCTATGAGTGACACATTCTTCTCTTCTGGTTTTGCTGACAGAATATAAAAATAAAAAAAATAAACATTTTAGATGAAGGATTTGATTGCAAAGAAATGAACAGGAAACTGAAAAAAAACCCAGCTTATTTTATTCATTATTCCTGAACCTGCTAAAAACTTCACAGCAGATGATGCTGATGAGTGAAAAGGCCGACGTCACCTCGCTCTGTTTTATTTAAAGAAACAGAAATCTGCTCAACAACTCTTCCACCGTCTCCACTTCCACTCTGATTTTACAGTTTAACCTTTAAAAAAGATGAGCATCTATCTAAGATCTTTGATCCAGTCGGTTTGAGTTCGTCTCTCTGTGAGCAATCGGAGCCAGAATCTTTGCCTTCATCTAATTAGTCACTGGCTGAGCAGAGGAAGCAGCATCTGAAGCAGCCAGATAAAGAAAAGAAAGAGAAAATAGAAAGGAACAAAGACATGTTTTTATTCTTCACAACACGCATGATGAGCTGCGAACAAAACGCTTCTGTTTCTGAAGGTCATCTCAGGAACTTCCTGGTTCCTGTGGCTTCATCTGAACCTTCATTTCAACAGAGTTCAGCTGCTGCCTTCACATCATTTATATTCACATTTACAACATATTTAAGTGTTTAAACAACAGTTTAATAACAGGATTTTAAAAAGACAAAAAGAACTAGACATGGGTTTTTACGATGTAAAAACAAGTGTGCATTGCCACGTAGCATGGCTTTGCCTGCAGCAGTGGACTTGCAGAATGAACTTTGACCAAGTTCAAATGTGTTTTCTACACCAGCTTGTGCCTGTCACATCATCAGGTGTTTAGAATTAAGGTAATTGTGTGACAATATGAAGTTTGAAGAGATTTTTTGTTAAAGTTGCTTTAGCTGGGTTTTGAACCCTGATCTCCCACATGAAAGTCCATGACATAGACCATTAGACCAGTGGGTCTGTGGCAGAAGATGGTGGTTTGTATGTGTGCAGAAAGAGGTCACAATGCCAATACAATTATTGACACAAAATGCATAATATTACAACAACAGAGCAGTATTAAGACAATATTATAGTAAAACATCAAAATACAATCATATTAGRATTGTAAACACTGAACTACTGAGTTGAAATATTAAACTATGGTGCAGTACCAAGTTGAGTACAGCAGGGGGCAGTATTGGACCAATACAAGACTCCATTGACTGCCATTACAATTCATTAAACATTAATATTTCAAAAACTATAAGTTTTACAGGCACCAAAAGGCATAGCCATCATTTGGCACAGGAGCGTTTCAGATATAAATTACAATGGCAGCTCTAGGGCAAAGTATGCAGGAGGAGAAGCATGGCAAAGTGGAGATGACTTGGATGGGAAACGAATCACAATAGTGTGCACTGCATTGGCAATGCACACTGAAAACAACTAGAGAAAATGCATTTCCTGTGAAAATGCTTGTGTGAATCCCTGTTGCTGAAAATGAGCTGAAAATGTTTAATAGGAAAAATATTATTGTACGTTAAACTTGAAAACCCGAAAGAAGCAAAAAAAAAAAAGATGCAAAAAGTCAAAAGGAGCAAAGGTATAGCTGAAATAGCATAAAAAGCTAAAATAGCTGAATATAACAGAAAGCATAAATAACTCAAATTAGCAGAAAGGAGAACAAAAAATAGAAATTAGCAGAAGAATTACAGAAAGCTTAAATAGCAGGTAAGCTTAAATACTAGAAAAACGCTAAAATTGGCAAAAAAAAAAAGTAGCTTAAATTGTCACAAGGAATCTGAAAAGAGCAAAACCAGAAGAAAATATGTAAGATTCTGTGAAGACTCTGAAACATTTGAATGTGTTGAAAAAAGCTTTGTTCATTTCCAAAGGGAAAAAAAGTAGCTGAAATAGCTCTGGCTACTATTTTACAACTTTTTTCAGCTTCAGTATGTGACAGAGCTCGCTCTCAGCTATCAATAGATCAATTTTGAGGTAACATTAGCTAAAAGTGCAGCAAATAGCTGAATATAGCAGAAAGCATCTGTAAGAAGCATGAAAAGCAAAGTAGAAGAAAGAATGACAGTAAACGTAAACAGCAGAGGAGTAGCAGAAAGAAGTAGAATTTTAGCTAAAATAAAAGCTAAAACTAGCAAAAAAGACGCTAAAATTATCACAAGGAAGTTAAAAAAGAGCATAAACAGAACAAATTGTGTAAGGTTCTGTAAAGATTTAGAACATTTTTAAGGATTTCAAGGAAGCTGAAAACAGAAAATTCATTTACAATTGGAAAAATGTGGCTAAAAAAGTGAAATAGCTAAAAAAGTACCAAAATATTACCAGAAATATTCAGCTGTACTGTCCTGAATGAGCTTACAGTTTTGATATATGAATTGTTGAAAAAGCACAAAAATTGTGGAACGAGAAACATTCCAAACCACGTATGGAAGAAACTATAACAAAGAATAAAGAGAAAGATGAAAACATCAGTGTGAACGATGTAACTAATAAACAGTTAGTTCTTCAGAAATATTACAGTTAAAGCAACAATAATCAATGTTACCAGTTTAATTCATTTATCACAACAATTCTGTGATAAAGATAAATGTGTTTTATTGATTCATTTTGCTGCAGTTTGAACTAAAAATCAGGATGAGTTCATAAAAAGT